GTTTGACAGAGTTCTCGATTGTACGGACACAAAATATGAACATGGACCTTGCCACATGTCCTAGGTATGAATGACAGCTCAAAGACTGAAAAAATAAAAAGGGAAGAATGCTGGTTTAGTTATGAAATGAGATATGAGAGTGTATGAGAAGGAGAAGGAAAAAAAAAAGTAGGGGGAGGTATGGAAGCGCGTCTGGCCTCAGAAGGGCGTTGTGAACTTCATGAAAGAAATATAGGCCTAGGCCTATTATAAGTTTTACGGTGATCCATTGTTTGTTCTCCTGGCCATTGACATTTGCTCTGGGCTTTATTTAAACAGCTATAGATAGGGTAAGAGATGGGTTGGAATTGGGTTAACTGTAAAGTTTGTTTGTGAAGTTTTTGTTTATGGAAGGATGGAAGTTGAAGAACATCCATGTTGTATTAAAATTCGATAAGTGAGCAATTATCATTGGGGCATGTGTCTTAACATAGTTTGCAGGCACAAACCCTTGCCAGCCCTTGTGCAGAAGAGAGACTACAGTAGGCTCTCTACCTAAAATTGGCAGATGTACGTAGGCTCTGCTCAAGGCTTTAGGAATTGTGGTAAAGTGTCTAATTAGAGTATGTGCATGCAGACAAGCTATATAAACCCCCCTTCTGACCACTAGCAGACAATGAAAAAAATACTGTTCTTTGCTTTGGTAATTTATAAAGGAAATACATATGTTTCAGGAAGACTAGTGCATTACTTGCAAAGTTGGAAGGCTTTGACAGCATTTTCATTTTAAAAAAACAACGACAAAACTCACTGCAAACTCAGCAATACGTGAGGAAATGCAAGTGCACGAAACCTCAAAAGGTGAAGGCATGTGAAGGTGTTGAGAGCAATTTAAACACACAGAGAGAAGAATTAACGTGGAACTAAAGATTACAAAGGTTAAAGCAAGCTCCATCCCCACTAATCGATCCTTGACACGTGAGCCTTCGAATGTCACACCAGATATCCAGATGCAAAGTTGAAAAGCTGCGTCATGATGTTGGGTAAAAACATGTGTATCTGTCAGCATGTTCAGACTATAGGTTATTTATATGAAACTTGTATGAAGAAACGTTGTATAAAGAATCATAGTACAGCAAAAGGAGCATACAGACAATATCGTATAGAGAACTTCGTATAAAGAAACTAGTTTTGATAAGGTCACCGTCGGTTGACATGACAGCAGGCCAATCAGTAGTGGGCGCTCACGATAAGCCTCCCTCAGTTATACTATTTTCGTATGATTATCGTATAATAGGACGTTAGCGCTTTATAAGCACAGTTTTTTATTATTATTTTATTATTATCTATAGTGAGTTGTCGTTCAAAGCGATCGTCAAACAGCGGTTTCGCTATACGATGTTTCGTTATAGATTTCTTTTAACGATGTGCAGACTAGGACAAATATGTTTACTTATCATGCATGCATATCTATATGAGACTCATATGCTGATAGTTTGAACGCAGCTTTGAGACACCAATACAAAGGATTTATTCTCCGACATTAGAGGGGTCTTTTGTTTATGGCCGAGGAAGCGGTTACTTGTAAAAAGCATGAATTATGATCGTGGATGCGGCTAGTTAACCCACATACAAGGTCATAGGATTTGTAAGGTGGGGTGCAGTAATCGGTGGAATCCCTTGTTATGTTCACATGGGCCCGTTGAGGTTTTAAACTTAAGTTAGAAAAATCCCGAAGTTATTAACGATTCCACCTACAATGGTGATGAGGGTTCACACAGGAACATTCAAAGTTTTAACTACAAGCTGGGAAAGGATTCACAGTTCACTGCATCCGCACGGCACATATAACTTTGATTGAGGACCCCCCTCCCTTCCTGTAGTTACCGCACTAACCTAAAGATCCGTCATGCTTCGTGGCTTCAACTTAAAGTAAATTCTCGTAACCAAGAGTGCGTCCACACAGTGCCTAACTACAAGATAATGAAAAAGTTTATAATTACGACTTTAACTTTAAGTTGATGGAACCGTGTGAACCTTATTACTGTTATCAAGATCCCAAAGAACTTTGCAGGCTTTGTACAGATGCCCATTAGGAACCAAAGGAAATCTGGGATGATCTGTATCTCCATGTAAGGTCATGTGGTATCTGAAACTGGCACAGCTGTATTTAACTCTAATTACATTGAGAGCTAATTGTCCTTATTTGAGTTAGTTGCCCTTTAGAGGCAAGATTCAGGTTTTCGCTTTGGTCCGCTATGTTCAGCCAGGGCTTCAATATAAAGAAGTATTCACCCTACAAACCAATTCTATTGGTGTTTATCAGCCCCATTGTCTTCGAAAAGATATTTTGAATATAGCTGAATAAAACGTGAGCACACACATTTTCCCGTTAAATTACTTATGATACACATTATCAGGATGAATGATGCATTGATTAAGGTTGAAGTTTTTAATGTCCCTAAAGCCAACTCACAGGCTGCTTTAAAAAACAATTGACTATGATACACAAGGGTGAAGGATTAATTTATTGATGAAGATTGAAGGATTATTTGGTCGAGATAATCATCCCAAGAAAACTATTTGTCAGGTGCGTTTTTCACCAGCCTGAAGACTCGCACTATGCATGAACGCTGAGCAAAATATCTTGAGCTAATTTCTCTAGCTCGAGTTTCAAGTTTCGAGGTGATGATGACGCGATTTGTAACTTCAGGATTATTTCCCAAATCAGAAATATCAGGCTATTTGGCAATCTCGAGGTGAGGAAGACAGGCCTTATGATGTGTATTCTGTGATTTTCTTCTGATGAATAGAGATGGAATGTCGGGTATCTGACTTAACTTGATTCGTCCCGATTTATGTTTCTTGAGAATGCAACTTATTAAAGCTTTCATACAATGTATCTAAAAGAATTCAACACTGGCATTAATTTAACCAGTCCATTATTCATTCTTGGGTTACAAAAAAGCACAAAACATCAAATTTACAACAGGTATGAATTATTTAGCTGTTAACCATACATATAGGATCTTGTTGCAAATTGTCAATTTTATTTAGCGATCAGTTTTCCCTGTAGTATTTGTATAGTTACTTTTTGTATTTCATCGTGCGTGCCCGGGCATGGCATGTGGGGATTTTCAGACTAGCTTGCTGCCTTGGCCAATTTGCTCTGTTTGTCCTGTGTATTAGACTTCTCTGGTTACTTCTCTATAGCATGTCTCTGCCCTTATTATTCCAAGGATCCACAAATATACCAGATTTCATGTTTATGTGGGAAACCACCACCCAATAAAGGGAAAGCTTCCTGGTGATTTGACGTATCCATTTGTTGAGAGCCAGAAGGACGTTGATGCCATGCTAGAGGATATGGGTTAATGGCCTTCTGGCTGTCAGCAGATGATCTGTCCTTCCATGTGGTAATATGGAAGGAAGGTCTTTCCCATCAGTACCAAATAACTCCAGGGAGGAGCATATAGGCCTATTTCACTTGGAAAATTAGCAGAGGTATCGATCTGTTGAGAGCCAGATGGGCACTGATGTGATGACCTTCTGGCTCTCAGCAGATGATCCATCCTCCTAGAGATTAATTGAAACATGTTTATCATAGGAGGAAGGATAAAGAACAGATGATGTGACTTTATCACCCTTCTGCCTCTCAATGGACATTAGTATGAAAGTGTGAATGCACAACCACTGCATGTAGAGTCTACTGCAGAAAGTGTTCCACTAGTCTGGATGAACCTCAATGATAAAGGCTGCATATAGGATGGCAAACCAGTAAACAAGAGTGGGTTTTGCAAAGATATGAGTGTAAAAAAATAAAAATGGAACAGTATGTACAGGCTAAAAAGGAACATCTTGGTAATCGCTCTTATAGTCTTAAAAGAGATCACTCTGTTGTTTGTGTGAATGGGGCATATTAGATACTGCTAGTTAGAACCAGCAGGTTACTGACCTTGGGCCCTCTAGGGAACCCTTCAAATCAAGTCTTGGACCTGATTGGTATAAATCATAGGTCTTGACCACTTGTGGACTGATTGTTGTACAGGTGACCTTATGAGGTCATTCCTTCTGTTGGGTCATACAACCTGGTAGGTAGATCCTGTTTAGTCTTCTGGCACAAACCTTTTTCAGTTTACAGACATGCATCCTTGTCAGTCAGATAATACAGGGTCTGGATATTAAGACTGTCCACTGGATGTCATAGGTCCTTTCCTAGAGCTGCTTCTGACGTAGCCAGACCCCAACAATGTTAGCTTAGACTTGAGGCTGTATTGAACTGTCTTTCCTCATCCAAAAAGAGTCTGTTCCTAAAGACTAGGTCCTGGTTTGCACAAGTCAGCTTGAAACAATTCAAGGTATATCACCAACACAGTTTGTATTGTATAAAAGGAAATACAAATGTGTCTTTGTTGCTTTGATATCAATTGGTTAAATGTTGAAGGTTTCCCCTTGATTTCTAAGCATTATGATTTGCTATTTCCTCAATTTGAACATGATTTTCCTTTGATGGAGGTAGCGTCAAGGTCTTAAAAATTACCATGATGCTGACAACTTGTAAAATAGAGCAGGGATGCTAACTCCCTTTCTGGTACAAGAAAAAACAAGAAGAGACATATTGTTCTACAAGAATATCAAAGTTAATATTTGTAGTAGCTCAACCTAGGTTGAATTAGATCTGATTGGCAGCAACTTTATTTCCTTTTGCATTATAGTGATAAGTATATGATAGTATCAGGGTCGCCACATCTTTACTGCTACTCTTTTGCAATTATTGTTACCCCAGCAAAAGGCCAGCATTGACACTGACAGGTATCCATTTCTCACACCTGGTTCAAGAAGGACAGATATGGGTAAAACGTCTTGTCCAAGGATGTTAGCACCAAGAAGGGTTTAAACCCAAAACCTCCTGTAAGTGAGTCAAAGGCCTTTACCAATGAAGATTTCTATTTAATTTTCGATATCAGTAACCAGTTACCAATTAATATTTTGCTATTAATCTTATTATTCTATTATTTTAGATGGTGGTGTGCGAATGGTTCCTTTATCGGTACTTTGTGAGATGCTCAGAAGAGGGGTCACCATGGCGACCATACCAACGGAGAAAGATGTGCTGTTGCTCTGTCCATCCCTGGGCAACCGCTCTCTATTCCACTATTGGATCCTTCGGCCTCGGCGCTGCGTTCACGTTGCTTCTGACGGACTCTGGAAAGTATATGATAGGACGATTGAGGCCACACTTCATTTCTGTCTGCACACCGGATTGGTCCTTGATCAACTGTACAGATAGCGATGGGTACCAGCAGTATGTCCAGGATATACCATGCCTTGGGACAGATACTCATCAACTTACAGATGGAAGGTATTTATAATCTTTTGTTTTTGTCTTGTTTTTTGTTTGTGTCTTGTTTGTTTGTTTGTGTATGATGTGAGCTTCAAAGTAATGTCTATGGAGCAGACAACCACTAATTAACTTTTTACAGATGGAAATTTGTTGGTTCATTTTGTTTGTTTGTCTGTGGTATGTATAAGTAATACTTTGGGAACAGACAGTCATCCCCGTACAGAATAAATCAAACATCATGAATTTATTCATAATGTTTGTTTGTTTGTCCCTAATGTGTTTTACAAAGTAATGCCTTAGGCTTTAATAATAATAATAATATTGGATATTTATATAGCACACATATCCACCCTGCAAGGTGCTCAAAGCGCTCCAATATTACCCCGGCTCTGCTAGGCTACCGATTTCGGTGCTCACAGCATTCAAGGAATTCCTTCCTACCGGTCCCCATTTACTTCACCTGGGTGGAGTGTGGCAAATGTAGATCAATGTCTTGCCAAAGGACATTAGTGGCTAACTTACTGATGGAAGGTATTCATATCTTCACGTTTGTTCTGTTTGTATGTCTGTGATGTTTATTACAAACAGACAACTATACACCGAGGTGGAGGGTATTTAAGTTATGCCTTAGGAAGAGACAAGCGTCAACTTCGGAAGAAAGCTGTTTAGTATTTTGTCTTTATCTTGTTCCTTTGTCTGTGATTTGAATCATCACAAAATGAATGTCTTTGGACTGATAAAGTGATAACCCACAGACTGAAGGTTCATGTAACCATACCTTTAAAAGAAATTGTTTGTCCGTCGATCTGTCTGTCTGTCTAACTGTGAAGTTTATCACAAAGAGATTATTGTCACTCTTGTATTTGCTTTTCAAGTTTATTCTACGTACAAAGGTAAATTAAAAAAGTCCTCAGGACCAGACACAAAGGACTCTAATTCTATTTGGAAATTGGTGCATGAAATCTGTTTTTCATGCTCTTTGCCCAAACTGAAAGAATTATCCTATAAAGAATACACAAAGATATTATCAAAACTAATCCATATTTTATTGCAAAGCTCTGTCCATAAATTCTACAATGGACATAATTGTTATGGTCTATATGACAAAAGATTTTATTGTTTGGCAATATATGTATCATAGTATAAACATCCTCATTTTGTACCCAGATTTACTGCACAAAATGTAAAAGGCTGTCAAGATCATGACCCAAAATATTATCTCCATGTAATTCTATCTTATTTGATAAAGACTAAATGTCCTTTCATACTCTCAAGAGATGATATTTCTACTTCATAAAGTTCATACATATCAACGACCCATATGGTCCATTTCAATGTCAATAAACATGATATTCTGAGAGAGGGTCTCATTCATACATTTCTTGCCAAGTTACTTTCTTCGGCTCATGTTCTGTCAGAATAGTAATAATAATACTCTCAACACACGCTATGCAGTTGTACTGGACCATATGCTTCCAGTTTGATTGTTAAGAGCGAGAAGGCTGTTGATACCCTGATAAATCATCTGTTCAGAGCCAGAAGGGCATTAACTCTGCGGTAAAGAATAGAGTTAGTATCCTCCTGGCTCCAATAAGATAAAATGATATGAGTTAATGCCCCTCTGGCTCTGAGAAAACAATTTTTATCTCAATAAATCTGATATTCTGAGAGGTACTTTCATTGATACCTTCCTTGCCAAGCCCCTTTCTTCAGCTCATGTTAAAATTGTGTTGTTTTGCTGACATGGTATACTGTGAAACTCCAGTTTTCCACATTTTCTGCATTATGAAACTTGCTCAGAGTTTCAATTTTGTGGACTTAGAGGTGGCTCATAGCGAAATTCCATAAGGAATCCTTATTTTTTGTGTCGTATTCTGTAACTTGAGGATGTTTCTGAACCCATACTGTGACCTGCATGTAAGACAAATACACATCCAGATGTTCCTTGAATGACTGAACATGAAATCCTCTGAGAGACATGAGGGGGGTTGAAATATCCTTTTGATTTGATTTGATTTGATTTGATTTTCTTCTGCATTCATATAAGTTCAAGTTTTTTTATAGCAATAGTAGTACAATAAGCATTTTTCTGACAGTGAATCATAAGTAAGCAAGTATATACAATTGTTATTTTCAAAAACGAAATGATAAACTGTCATAAATACTAAATTTCATCAAACATAAACACATTTGCACCACTAGGCGTTGTGGTGTGTGCCTGTAATCCAGCTGACAGTGGAAGTTACAAACTGATTCAGCCGAGGACGCAGGTTCGAAACTGAGTCACGTCTTTCGGATGGTGACGTTTAAAGGTCGCTCCATATCTGATTGACACATGTCTGTAAAAACACAATACAAACACACACACTTTCTAGAAATCAACTTTGGAGTCATTTTGATACTCTATGGTTTATTTTATAGAACCTATGTTCGGTTTATGTAGTATGTCATGGATATGTGGGGAATAAGGCCATTGAAATTGTGTTGGGTTAATTTTTTTAAGATTTTGCGATCATGTCGATAGGGCTATGCCCTTCTTGTTCTCAGCAGAGGATAATATCTTTTTAAAAACAGAAGCAATCATAATATTGCTGTGCTGTATGTTATGTTCTTCCGTTTGCTACATGTATGTAACATCTGCTAAGATTTAAAAGGGAGTTGAATCCTCCTTTCAGATACAATTAATGCCCTACTGGCTCTCGTCAGAAGATGGTATCAAAAATGTAGTTCTAAACAATCATTTTATTGCTGTGCTGTATCTTATATCCCTCATATTGCTGCATATATAACATCTCCCGAGAAGCATCCTTTCGTCTATAGTTAATAATAATAATAATAAATAATAATAATAATAAATTACATTTATATAGCGCTTAATACAAAGTTTCTAAGTACTTAAAACTGTAGTTAACTGTTAATGCCCTTCTGGCTCTCAACAGAGACAGCCACATCCATATTGTTATTTGCTGCGACCGCTTTTAAAAATTAAGATGCAAAGTAAGATGATCATTCTAATATGAGTCTATACACTGCATACTTCATCACTTTTGATATATATGAATTCACTGCCTCGAGTTAGTTTACACGATAAGAATTCTCAGAATGTAGGTCTGGACTGCACTAAATAAAACATGATCCCTTGCGTGTGGTGACAAATATGATTCTAGCATTGTCCAGAGAAATCTAAAACAGAATGGAGCTACCATGAGAAGTATCAACTTTCCCTTCTGATGAAATGAGAGATATTTATATTGCTATGTTACCCAATATTCTGGAACTGCTTGTAACTGTTACAATTTTCATCGTAGAGTTCACATTACATTTGATGAATTCATTATAGTTCCTGATTGCATTACTTGTAGCCACAAGCAAATTTTGCAAGAATGTTTTTGGCCCCATTATTATGTGCTGTAAGAATAATATGAAAATGAAATTTAATCATGGCTGATTTTGTTTAAAATAGCCCTCTCCTTTCATACTTTAGAAGCTGTACAGTAATCTAACAATATTCAGTTTTGGGATCCAATTACCTCCCAGACTTGAAAATAACAATGTCTTTATTTTTAGATCAGAGTTTCTGGCTAAGATCAAGGATATAATGGAACATACCAATGTGTTTGTTATAATGGAAATGAAAGAAAGAGTGAAAGTGATTTTATTTGTATTTAATTTGATTCGTAATGTTTTCAGGACAATATGAAATTGAAACCTTTTTTTATGAGTTTCAATTTCTATCAGGTATGTTGTTTATCCCCCCCCCCCCCCCCGGATGTGCCAGTATTGCTTTTGATCAGATAAGTAAGGAACCGTGTGTAAGCCATATTTATGAAGAAAAGGGAGACAAAGAAATTGGAAGGATAAAGTACAAGCAAGAAACAAATATTAAATACCAATCTTGGAGATTTTAATCAAGGACCTTACTATCAAATAAAGAAAATACGTAAGGAAAATTGATAAAATATTATTTAAAGAAAGTTTTGACGGTAAAGAGAAGATGGGGAAGAAAACAAAATTGGGGGGGGGGGGAACATTTGAGAAATGTTAATTGGGAAAAGCACCATTGGAGTGTAGGATTTAGATCTGCTGTTATTGTCAAGAAGAAAATTGGTCGCAGTATTCATTGAGGATCTAAATTCCATTTATCAAATAAGTTGATGGTTTGTCCGTTCCACCCCCAATTCACTATGATTTAATGGCTAATTATGGTGTTTAGATGTCAGGGGAAAGGAATCAAATAGGAGGTTAATGGCCCCAATTATACGAGTTCAAAATAGAACAGTTGCTATGAAAGCTAACTACCTGGTAACCAGTCATGAACAGAATGCCAGATACTGCTCAATTATTGAAGCCCAAATATTTCTTTTTAGAAAATTTACAGCATGTAGGCTTTCCAGTACTTTCCTTGCAAAGTTTTTTTGTTTTTTTTGTTTTTTTGTTAAACAGTTCTTTGAATTTCTTTCGAATTTTTTAATTTTTTTTTTATTAACAATGAAATCTAAAAAAGCAACTTTTATTTCTGTAAACCTCATTTTTATTCCAGAATATATATTATTTTTCTTCTTAAAATTTGTTCAGTGCCTTTATTTATTTATTTATTTATTTATTTATTTATTTTATTATTTTGGGGGGAGGGTGGTCATTCTAGAGTTGATTCATGCTGCAGGCACATTGATTCCTACTTGCCTTTTCGAAAAGTCTACAATACTACTACTACTACTACTAATAACACATTGTATTTCTAGAGCGCTTAATACAATGTGTTTCTAAGCGCTTTTTCACAAAATGGCGATTCTCAGATAATAGTATATTCAATATCATGTTTACAACCTACAATTATTATATACTTATCAACTTACATGAGTTCAAAATGCATAAGCACAGAAACATCCAGTCAATACATTCACATACAAAAGAATACAATTAATTTTAGCCTCAAAACATTATAAATTCAAATTAAGGCAATTACATTTACCTTTCTTTACTAAAGTCACATCATCAAAAACAACGCAGAATGACTG